CTGTTAGATACACTAATGTAATAGAATTTTTTGATAATTATTTGTTTATTACAAAGGGAAATGAACTGTTCAGTTACAGTAAAGCTATTCAATGGCCCGTCGCATGTGGAAAAAAGCAATGGATGAAGAAATCGAGGCTTAGAGAAAAATCAAACATGGTCATTAATCAAAAGTCCCCTCAAGAGGAACAAAAAGTACTCACAAATAGGTAGCTTTTCAAAATTAAAACAAAGGCAAATGGAACAATAGAGCGCTACAAAGTCAGACTCGTAAAGGTAAGTTCAGACTTGTGTCGTATTATCGTATTATGATCGCGTATTATAATGATACAGATACATTAGTTATAATAATACGCCAAGGTCTTGTTTTTCAACTCATATCTATATTTACGTTTTTCAATTTCCCATCAGCACATCCATATCTTTAGTTCTATAGTGTCTGTTGTGGAGACAATGTCTCTCGCTGTACAAGTAGTTGCTGCTAGCTAAGTTTTTCTTCATCACTTATTAAAGAAAAAAACAAAGAAACCACTGCAATAATGAATAAAAGCAGTTTTTGCACATCGCAAAGTGTACACTTGCTCAAGTTTATTACGCGACTGAAAGTTAAGAAGAAGCCAAATACGAAGCAACACACGACTGAACAAGTCATTCTACATTGTCAGATTAGGATAGGATTAGGGTAGGATCGATATGTCGGTGTGGATCGTGTCCACACTGATTGTATCCGTATCATTTCTTTGATGTTTTGGTGATTGAAATACTGACTCCAAGTGGATCATGATCATATCGATACAACACTTTGTCTGTACACTTAGCTAATCATGATACGATACGATGATATGACACAAATCTGGACTCACCTTAACAAGAGGCTGCAGCAAAAGAAAATTTGTCAGCAGAAAAAGAAATAGGTTGTAGCGAGACGCGCACGTTCAATTCGATGGCAAAATATAACACCATAAAAACAATCCTGACAATAGAAGCAGTTGAAAGGATGGAGTTAAAGCAATGCGACGTCAAAACTGCTTTTCTGAATGGTATACTGGGCGAGGAAATATACATGGAGAAGGTTGCAACGACGGAACATGTATGTAAACTGTATACATAAAAATATATATGGATTAAAACAATCGTTACAATGTTGGAATTTAAGATTTACAGATTGTTTGAAAAATCTAGCAATAGTAGCTACTAAAATAGATCCATGTTCATTTGTTAACAAAATGCTCAGAGATAAAACGTATATAGTAATTTATGTTAATGACGGATTAATTGTATCAAAAAGCAAACCCAGAATAAGCAAAATACTGATGTACTCAATCAAAAATTCGAAATAAAAATACTAAATATAACTTTATTCTTAGAAATTCATAAAGATAGTGCAATTACTATAAAAAGTACCAAATATGTAAATTATATAATAGATAAATTTAATATGTCTGATTGTAAGAGCGTGTCGGTATCTGTAGACAATTATCAGAATATAAACATGTTCGAAGAAACAAATAATAATTTAGCAAACATACGTATAGAGAAGAGATAGATAGTATTATTCTTAGTACAGACTACGCGACCAAATATTGCGTTCACGGTGGCAATAGTTAGTCAGTTTGTCGAAAAATAGTGCAAAGCACTGGAATGCAGTAAAGTAAATTATTAAATATATAAAAGGAACAATTAATTATGGTTTGTTGTACAAAGCAGGAAATAATTGGAAATACTTACCTAAAGCGATACAGATTTTGCAGGTGATATATACAGACAAGGCGATCGATGAGCGGATACATTGTGAAATTAAGCAATGCATCTATTATATGGGATTCTAAGAAACAAAAAGGTCTAGCGCTTTTGACTACCAAAGCGGAATTTATAGCATATAATATAATACGAAGCGACAAAAGAAATAACGTAGATACGTTAGTTGATATCAGAGTTAACAAACAGCAAAGTTAACGTACCGGAACTTAAAGTTGATAATCAAAATGCTATTGATTTATTAAAAACCCTGATTTGCACCAATGGAGTAAGCATATAGATGTTACATTTTACTTTATAAGAGAAAAGTATAAAACTAAATACATTCAAGTGCAATATGTTAGCTCTGATGATCAGCAAGCGGATGTTTTTACAAAACCATTAAACAACCAAAAATTTCAATTTTTGCGAAAATTGATTGGTATGATAATTGTATAATTTTATAAATATTCTTTTAAACAACACACGAATTATAAGAGGGAGTGTTAGAAGAATGATATAATGTGTGAAGTCTGTGCGCATGCGGAAGAACTGAGCGGGTTTGTATGTGTCTACCAGCTTTTGCCTCGCTTTCTCGCTAGTAAAACGTTGTGTATACACATTCTTAAGACGCGCTTATAACTCGCTACAAAATCATACATGTAATACTTTTATATTGCTAGCAAAAACAAAACGCTGGCGAAAACATTACGGGACAGACATATACGAATTCGCATAAGACTCTCTCACTTCTACAATTTGTGTACTTTGACGCATGAGCGCGTTGAAAGTATCTTACACGTATCTTCTATCTCACTTTCTCGGCGCGCATACCGCTTATTGGAAAGATACGTGGTTAACAATATAGGAGTATTACATATATGTACGAAATTGTGTTCTATCTTGTATGAGGTCTACATCATTATTGTTCTAAATAAATCAAAATAAATCCTGTGCAAAGACAAATTGCTAAAAATGTAAACAAAGTTATTTACCATTTTGCAAAATTTGCAATATTTATTAAGTTCTTAATTAATTAATTGATGTGAATCAATGAGGTCTACATCATCATTGTTCTAAATAAATCAAAATAAATCCTGTGCAAAGACAAATTGCTACAAATGTAAACAAAATCATTTACCATTTTGCAAAATTTGCAATATTTATTAAGTTCTTAATTAATTAATTGAGCGTGTAGGAAGCGATAATCTGGACTTTGTGGACGCTTACTTGTTTGTTCCACCTCTCGTTAGAAAACTTTATTACTTGAAGTAAGAAACCTTTATTACTTGAAGCCATTTTTCTTTATAACTAAAAATTATATATGCCTACAAAGTTCGGACTATTACTTTCCACGCACTTATTGGCTTTTATTAATTAAGAAATATTGCAAATTTTGCAATATTTAATTATTGTTTATTTAATTAATTAATTAACTCAATAAATATTGCAAATTTTGCAAAATGATATATAACTTTTCTGTTTAGATTGAATCTATTTTCACACTTTGGTTGTGTCAAAATTTTTTAGACACTTTGTATATATATGAAAAAAGAAACACAATATGTATATATATGGGTCAATCTTTTACAAACCGTACAAAATTGAACAAAAAATGACCGACCCATTTTTGATTTAGCTGAAACTTTTTTTACGGGTTCTATATCGAAAAAAAAGAGACACCTGTTCGAGGAATTTTTTTTATTTTTTATTTTTTTTTTAATAGAGAGGGTTGAATATTTGAGATTTTGATGATTTTTGCTTGAAGACTCATTTTCAAAAATCTATAACTCCGGTTCATTTCAAGCTAGAGAAAACTTTTTTTTTTATTTTGAAGGTAAAAGAGTGAATGTTAAGAAAAAAATAAATTAAAAAAATTTATAAAAAATTTCATATTGTTATAAACAATTTAAATGTTTGAATCAAATTTTAACAACAAAACCCACCACTTAGCGTGTTTTAAGTATGACCATTATATTCTACGTTTAATTTTCCATCGAAAATGCTTTTTTTATTAATGGAGAAACGATTATTACTATTGCAAAAAAATCAAATAAACTAGCACGGTAC